CTCTAGCTAAGTTTATAGCTTCCAAACTTATATGACTTGAATGATTATCCATTAATATCAGTAGAGGGTTTTCTTTAGAAGCACTTACGTGCATTTTTATGTGCTTTAGTACTTCTAAAAATAATTCAGCAGTCATATAGCCAGACTGATGAGCCAGACCAATGCTCCCTATTGGTGCACCATCTAAGAACCGGTCTTTCATATTCTTCCTGGGGAATATGAAAACTGGAGGTATTGCTTGTCCAGTGGCTGTTATAATTCCGCACATTGTAACATTTTCACCGCGTTCTTGAGAGGCCACAGCTCCTATTTGTTTTTTTCCCTTTTCAGCTATACGTTTGGGTGGTGGTAAGACCGTGGGTATACCTGTCTCATCTAAATTTAGTGCTATGCTTGTATTTTCAGGTTTTCTAAGAGATAAATCACCATGTCGTTTCATAAATGAATATATCCAGTCCTTTCCTGTTATCTTATTTTTAGTCCAATTCGAAGGAATTTCTATTTGTAGAGCACTACCATACTCAAAAGCTAGGGTACAAGCCTGCTTGTAAGTCAAGCCATAATGTAATCGAGACGCCTTCTTAAGATAATTGACAATGTGTTGTTCTTGTTCATCAGAAAATATTTGGCGACCTCGAAATTTATTGACGCCAGAAACATTCAAGCTAACAATTTCTAACTCATCTTCGTTACCTGAATCACCACCAGAGGGTATATTAGCATCTTGAAGGTTCCTCTTAGCCGAAATGACTCTTTTGTGAAGCATACTTTTTTTCAATTCATATTTCTCTGCAATATTTCTCAAGCTTCCTTTTTTTCTTAGGATATCCTTTATTGCACGCTCTACAACTTTTTCATCAATATCAGCTCTCGCCGTTTTTCTACTGTAAGTCCTCATCTGAAACAAAAAAGCGATTTTTATCACATGATTTTTGGAAATATAATCATTTGTGGGGTTAGTGTGGACAGCTGATGATTTGTCCACACTAACCCCGAACGCCATGTTTGACAGTAACAATGGAATGACGTTTCGAAAAATGATAATTTTATCTCATTCCATATCAAATGTAGTAATTAAATATTCCAGAAGCCATACACTAACTTAGGTATACAATTCGTTCAATAACTTCAATTTTAGTATAATTTTACTTACCGTGTGAAATAAATGGATACAACACACAAAATCACTTTCTGTCACTGGCGGCCATATTATAGAAAATATTTCAACCAACTTTTACGTGGTGTTCGGTGGCGTTAATAGTCACTTCCTGAACAGACTGGGCGGCAGATTTAAATGCGAGTTTTTAAATAATTAACTATGTCCACACTAACCCCATGTCCACACTAACCCCCCTCTCCCCTATCTGGTTTCGTAGACTTTTCTTCCAGATATTGAAATAAAGTTCCATCCACGAATCGGTTATATATTCATTTGTATTATACACTCAGATGCAAAAAAAACACAACAGTGAAATTTTTGGTCATATTCAAAGTATTTCAGTTTTTTTTTATTTTTAGGCCTATTTTGATTATTTTTGCACACTGTGTAAAAATTTATAAATTTTAATTTAGTATAATGAGTTTTTTAATAAAATTTTGTATTTAATTTATAATACGGGGTTAATCGAAAGGTGGTTTTTTATCCTAACTTTGAAATATCCTGTGGAATAATTCCGTTAGCGTATTTTCGTAAAACGGTATTTTTCGGTTGCAACCATGTCTTCTTAGTAATAGATATGTTTTTTGTTTCATGTGAAAATTTGAATATCTCGGACATATTACACATGGAGAAAAATACACCTTGCTCCAACTGATTATTCAGAGAAAGATCGAAAGAGAAGCATCGAGAAGCGTAGAATGTCATGGCTGCGCAACTTGAGAGAGTTGCGATGATTAAATGCAACGACATGATCTTGGTTTTAATGAACAATATATATATATATATATATATATATATATATATATATATATATATATATATATATATATATATATATATATATATATATATATATACCGGTATTTAGGAGGCTGCCCTTCCAGTAGGGATCTATGGAGAAGTATCACCGAGCCGCAACAAGCCCTTATCTCTTGCCATACTGCTCCACCATAGGCCGATCAGACACCAGCCAGTGCGCAAATAACAAAGAAAAACTAAAAAATAACTTAATACTTTGTATTGCCTCTCCTAGCGTCTATAACTGCATGTACACGTCGGTCATGCTGTCTTTGAGGTTGCGAATATGATCTTGCTGGATGTCTTGCCATTCCTCTTCTAGAGCCAAGCGAAGTTCTTTAATTGAGAGTGGTGCGACTTGGCGACCTCTAATATTTCTACCAAGCATGTTCCAAACGTCCTCTATTGGGTTCAGATCTGGCGAACACGATGGCCAGTTTATTTTATTAATATATCCATTCTTGTGTTGACTCTTCTCATGGCATCGTTGTTTGTTACATGATCGGTCCATGATATCTTCAGGATTCTTCTATACACTCACAGTTCAAATGCTTCCAACTTTTTAGTAACGGAGCATGCGTCTATCCCGTAAAGCAGAGTTGAGAAAATATCACTTTGCCAGCCTAATTCTCAAGTCTAATTTCAATTTTCTTGCACAAAGTACCTTTCTCATTTTATTGAAATTTGTCCGTGCTTTCTCTATTATTTGGAGTAATCGTTTGTGTGATTAATTATTGTGACAAGATAATTGTAGTTTTCAACTTGTTCTAAAGTTTTATCGTTAATTGTCAGACTTTCATCATTATTTTGGGTTTTTGATATCTCCATAAATTTAATGTTTAATTTAATTTAATGTTTATTCATAATCCGTATTCTTCTCCATACTCAACTATCTTGTTCATTAGCTTTTGGAGGTCTTGGAGGTTGTCTGTGATTATGATAGTATCATCCGCATATCTAATGTTTTTAAATGTTGTTCCATTGACCCTTATTCTTGCTGTTTCTCCCTCAAGCATAGTATTTCCATTTTTTTAAGAGTTTTGTTGTGGTTTCTTTTTTGCAGCCCTGTCGTTTCTTCAACCTTTTTATGTTGGATGAATATGTCGTATTTTTTCTGAAGATCTTCTATCTCTTTACATTTTTCCTCATAGTAAGTTTTGCCCTCATCATTTTTCTGATTTCATTGTTAAGTATTTTGTAATTGTGACTGTCTTGGTTTGTTCTTGGTTTGTTTTCTTTGGTTCATCCGGCCGAGTATTTCGTCGGTCATCCAGTTGTCTCTCTTTCTTATCGGTTCTTTTAAAATCTCTTTGGATCGAGGAAGCAGTTTTTTAATGTTTCCCATTGTTAGTTTATCTTGTAGGTGTTAGAGGTAGGTTATCTTTCGTCCCTATCTAATTTATATGGGCTATAGCCGTAAATATAGGTTAGTTGATGATGATTTTATTTTTATTTTTATTCGTGCACCAGGTTTTGCAGACATACAGAATTGTTTGTTTCTAATAGATTTATTCCCTGTTTTAGCTAATTTATCTGCTTCATCTCGTGTTCTCGTTATTAAGAACATCTAGATAATCAAATTAGTTATTTTTTTATTTTACATCATTCTATGATATTTATTAATCAAACGGATACGTAATTAATATTTGGAAAATTAGATGACTAAATTTATTCTAAGTACAAATCTCATCGAATCTCATCTTCCCATTTAAATGATTTTTAGGAATAATACTTCTAATCTGAGTTTTCGACTGTTTACAATAAAAATCATTATAACAGTTTGATTTTTTATCACGCATCAGATAAGATAATATTATGTTCTAGTTATTGCTTGTTGTATTTTTTAAAAATAATTTGAATTTGCCAACACGATGTTGAGAATAATACAAGTTTTTATTTCCTTCATCTACATATAACACCTACTAACTTTGAATAATAAACAAATCACTATTAGAGATTGTATTTTCCAGCAAAGTTTATTTGTGTAGATTTTCTGTATGTTTTTAACATAAGAACCATCTTTTATTCGTGAAATAATTGATTTTGACCAATAGATAATTAGTCGAAGAAGTAGCTGCACCACCAGGTCTAATAAAATCGCTAACAGAGAAAGTAGAGCCAATTTTGTGTGGTTTATCGTATCTATTACAAGATTGTGGTATACCTTGACAGAAAAACGTATTTTTTCGTTGTTCGAGACGTTGTCTCATTGTTTTTATCTTCCTAGTGCAATTCTTACACGTTTCTGGCGTTCATGGTTTTTGTAATGAGTACAAGTTCATTATTTGCTTGGAGAGTCGTCTTTCGAGTTCATTATTTGCTTAGAGAGAGTTCAAACTATGTTAACTACTTTTTCTCGATGTCATCGATAATAGTTCCTTCAATACCCATCATTTTTTATCCCAATCCAACTGTTACATGATATTGCTTTTTTCGTTGTTGCTATTCTTGTTTCTAATTGCATGATCATGACTAAATCTGCACATGCAAATATCCAATTGGCTATTGAAGATACTGCAATTGAGAGTGTTAATAACTATAAATACTTAGGAACATGGATAACATCAGATGTAGACCAAACCAAAGAAATTAAGACACGTATTGAAATAGCACGTGCATCATTAATTAAACTTAAAAAGTTTTTTTGTTGTCGGGATATAAGGTTAGAACTACGCCTGAGAATGCTTCGATGTTACGTGTTCTCTACTCTTCTTTATGGCTTGGAAGCGTGTACGAGCTAGTAAGGGAATTATTCAACAATGGTCCAGCCACAAGACGACTAGATAGAACCTGGCCTCAAGACCTACTTCAAAACTAAACCAAAATAGAATAAGGTGAGACATCATTGGATGTCTCTCCTTCACATGCAAAACCTGTAGCACATTTACTTAATACTCTATAATGATGTAGATAGTAAATAAACAAAATTATAAAAAAATACACGATGTCTCTTATTGTTTATTTATTGCTTATTGCTTTTAATATTTCTTATTTATATTAAAAGGGCGAGTTGTATTGCAATTCTGTTTTTTTTTCTTCTCAGGTTCAGCAAGCGTAGCAAGAGGCCTGTGTTCATATTTGGACACGTTATTGAACAATACGCTCGAGAACACCTTTAAGGAAATCGCACCCATTCATGTTTCTTTTATGTCAGAGTATTTCGATTTTCTGGCTTTCGGAATATCAATTCTTTTAGCGAGTAAGTACTTTTTAATATTCACTTCATTATGTTTTCAAAAGGAAAAATATATTTATAGTTTTTATAGCTATTTAAGAGTATTGGCTCTTGAAGTTTCTTCAATACAGAACAATGTTATTGAAAAAAATTAAGATAACGAGAAATTTATGTTTTAACAACGGATTGAAAGTTTGTTAGTAATAGTATGGTTTGTTTCTTTGAAAAGGAAATAGATACAAACGTGAAATATAAGATATGTTAAAAAGAAAACAATTAGCAAAAAATACAATCAAATGAATCATAACGTTATCTCTTTTTGATTCGGAATAAATTACACACAGAAAACATAACCTTAGAAAACCTGGAAGTACAACCTGTTAAATTTCACTTGGTCTTTCAAGGTTAAATAAAAAAAAACGTTCTACTGTGTAGAACGAATCGAGCAAAATCGATGAAATTTTCACTGACGATTCAGTGATGAGATCAGAAGAAAATCCTTTTGATATATCATAACATCAAGATGTATAAGAAAATGGGTACATTTTTAAAGAAAATCAAGTGAAAACGTCAATTTTGATACATAGGAAAAAGAAAATGGTTATGATAAAAAGAAACATAGATTTCAGTTACCTAATTCATCTTTTTAATTTGCGCGACTATTTAAATAGCACGACTGTATTAACAGGTTAACGGGCCGCATGATGCCGACGTGGACTCACACACAAATGTTGTGTAGCTCAACAGCGGCTTCTCGAACTCATTTAAAATATACGGGGACATTGACCAGATGGTCTAGAAAGCATACTTGGCCTGTGCTTGTGAGATGTCAACGAATACTCACATGGCCAATATTATTTATAAATAACAATTGCGTAATTATATATTTATTAATTAACGCTGTACCGTTATCTGCTATTTGATTTATATTGTTCGTAAGAGCCAACACCGAATTCTTCTTGTGAATTGTACAATAGAGCAGTTAACTCAACTAATAATAAGTTACATGCTTCACTGAGAACGAATAAAATCACTTCTACTAACGAATTTACTATATTTCTGTTATTTTTAGTAAAACTATGAACCATATTCTCTTTTTAGTTGCACTAGCGTTTGGTTTGAAGGAAAGCAGCTTGGCTAATAATATTTTTACATCATTAAACATAGGAATCGTACTGTTTGTGATAATAGCTGGAGCAACCAAAGGTAGGAACCGACTACAGCTATATTCATCTATACTTTTTTTTTCTATACCGCATTATTGTGACGTCACTCTGTAATATTTTAAGGTTATGTGCATGCTAAGACAGTTTCATTTTATATTCTTGGGAAACTGTTTTACGGACAATTTACTTTGTCTATGATAAAGATCACACAACATGGCGTGACATCAACACTAATGTGCGGTGTTGTTACTATATTATAAATCGTTTTGGTTTTTTTTATCTGATAGCTGATTTTAAAAACTGGAACATACAACCGAACAACTCCACGAACGCAACAATTATCGGCGAGGGCGGCTTCTTTCCTTTTGGTCTGGAGGGAACTATCGCTGGAGCCGCCACTTGTTTCTACGGATTCATAGGATTCGATTGCATCGCCACCACCGGGGAAGAGGTCAGGAATCCTAGAAAAGCTATTCCCATCGCGATCATAGTTTCACTTGGCATCGTATTCTTGGCGTATTTCGGTATTTCGACGGTACTTACGTTGATGGTACCCTATTATTTGCAAGTAAGTATAATACAATAGTGGTTTTGGTATTCTGTCTTCCTCCTATTCTAGGACGACAACAGAATAATATTTTAATCTGTTGTACAACTTTCATAACAAATAAGTCAATTTTGTAGACTCGCTGAACTTTTTGCGTAAAGTCATCTTATGTAATCGTATACGTATAAAACCAGCATAATTCTAGTTTGACAATTTATTTGTTGGGAAAGCTGGAGTTTTGTATTATATTTTTTACCGATCACCAAATTCACAGCCAATTTTTTAGTATCAACAAAAATTTCAACAGAATTAAAAATAAATTTTTAAAATAATAATCTTGCATGAAAGGCCCGTTTTTTTACCTACATATAAATATTGTTAGCCAAATCTCTGACGAGGTGGAAGAAGAACCTGATATACTCGAAAATGAAGTAAGACAGGCTATCAACAAGCTCAAATATAACAAAACACCAGGTCCAGATATGATAACAGCAGTAATGCTTAAAGCCACAGAAGAAATCGGCGTAAGATTACTTCATCTACTCTGTAACCAAATATGGCATTCCAAACAATGGCCTGAAGACTGGACAAAATCTACAATAACGACCATACATAAAAAAAGGCAGCTTCCATAAATGCGACAATTATAGAACTATCTCTCTTATATCTCATGCCAGCAAGATAATGCTACATATAATCAATGAGAGACTGAAAACATTCCTTCAAAGAGAAATTCCACAAGAGCAAACTGGATTTTCCAAAGGTAGAGGCACTCGAGAACACCTTCTGAATATAAGACAGATAATCGAGAAATCTAGGGAATTCAACATTCATACATCTGTTTTATAGATTACCGTAAAGCGTTCGACAGGGTCAAGTGGAGACACTTATGGCGAATACTAAAAGAAGTAGGCGTACCACAACATCTAATTACGCTTATAACCGAACTATATGAACACACTACTGGATCAGTTAAAGTACTTGACATACTTTCGAACGAATTTCATCCAGAACGGGGTGTCAGACAAGGATGTATACTATCTCCACAATTATTCTACATATATGGGGAGTATATTATGCGAAGAGCACTTGAAGGATGGGAAAAGGGCATCTCAGTAAATGGTCATAAACTAAACAACCTTCGTTTCGCAGATGACACAGCCCTTCTTGCAAATAGTCAAGCAGAGCTGTTAGAACTTATACGACTGATCGAAAACGAAAGTCAAATATTTGGTCTGCAATTAAACATATTAAAGACAAATATCTTGATAGTGGATAGAGTACACAACAATCATCCACACATAACCACAATTGACCGGTTCGAGGTTGTGAGCTCATACTTATATCTGGGATCATTAATCACAAACACAGGGTCATTACAAGAAGAGATTAAACGTAGATGTGATCTAGCAAAAGTTGCCACAGCAAAAATGACCAAAATATGGAAGGACTGTCAAATTTCAAGAGCGATAAAGATGAGGTTGATCAACTGCTTAATATTCCCAATACTGACCTACGGATGTGAATCTTGGACTCTGAGACAATCGGAGAGAAGAAAGATAGACGCCACTGAAATGTTCTGTTGGAGACAAATGTTACGAATTCTTTGGACCGACCGTAGAACAAATAATTCAATTTTAAGAGAGCTAAAAGTTATCCAACGACTCTCTAGTAAAGTCCATCTCCAACAATTAAAATATTTTGGGCATGTTATGAGAGCAAACACAGAAAACATGGAAAGACTCATAATACAAGGAAGGGTAGAAGGCCGAAGATCACGAGGAAGATCCCCAACAAGATGGATAGATAAAATTACAGGAATATGCCAAAGACCTATGCATGAATTAAAAGAAATAACCAGAGCCAGAGATCTCTGGAGACGGACAATACACGACATCACGTCGACCACTACACTCCCCCTGGGGGGTCAGGATTGAAGAGAGAGAATCAATGAATATTTTGATATTTTCAAAAAAACTTCAGTTCAGCTAAAATTAGAGGACAAACCGCAACTCGTGTGGAATATGGACGAAACATCCATTTCTCATGACCGAAAAAAACGAAAGTCGTGGGAGCTAAAGGTAAATCAAGTTCCAGAACTACTTCTGGTCCAGGAAGAGAAAACACCACGGTTCTTTCAGCAGTGTCTGCATCAGGGACGAAGGCACCACCACTAATCGTATTCAAGGGAAACAATATTTGGGATTCCAGTCTACCAGATAACAAGAGCTCATTTCCCGGAACTGCTTATACAGCCAGTCCCAATGAATGGATGGAGTGTGACGTATTTATTAATTATTAAAAAAAAAACGTTTATTCCCGCATTAGGAGAAAATAGGCCGGTACTGTTGATATATGACGGCCATAGTACCCATATTAGTATTGAACTAGTTGAATTAGTATGACAGAATGATATCACAATCATCAAACTTCTTCCTCACAACAACCAACAACTCGTAACCTGGCGACATAATACTGGCCTTAAAATTCCAAAAAAGAGTTTTCTCTGACGATAGGCACTACATGGAAAAAGTAAACGTAGAAATGATCAAAAACAGGTTTAGAAAAGCTGGTGTATTTAACCGTCATGTCATACCAGAGGAAAAATACCACCCTGAAAGCCTAAAAAGATGGAAAGAACAAAAGAGTTTAGAAGACGAAACAATAGTTGTAGTTGAAACCGCAAATATTAATATGGATGTTATTACCGCCGGCAATATTTATCAGTCGGTAAATAAAGATCAGATTGTGGAAAACCATAAAACCAATATTTCTGATGGAACTCCAAGTAGTAGTTCTTCAAAAATAAATTTTGAGGCAGAAGAAGTAACACCTTTTTTTGGTCTGATAAAGAAGACACGGATATTATAGTTGAAGACGATATCGTAAAAACTTTACCAGAACCCGTTAAAGACAGAAGGGATCATTTTATTTTTGATGTAAAGTTTATCGGGTTAAACCTTCAAATCTTAAAAAGTTTGTAACTTGCTTAATAATAAATAAACTAAAATTTTTAACAGGCAAATAAAAGCAAAAATAAGAATAGCAAAAAATGAATGGCTTAAGCAACAATGTACCGATCTAGAACATTTACAACGACAGCACGACGACCGTAATTTACATAAAAAGCTTAAGGAGACTGCTGGAATATACAGAAAACGAAGACCAACTACCATAGTTAATCAGGATAAACAGATAGTACTGGGTGAAAAGGAGAAAATTGATATATGGGAAAATTATATCCAGGAGCTCTTCCATGACGAAAAACCCATGAGTGAAGTTTATACAGACGACCAGCTGACTGGCCCTTCAATCACCAAAGAGGAGATAGAAAAGGCAATATTAAATTCAAAAAACAATAAGGCACCTGGACCAGATGAAATCCCGTCTGAAATACTCAAATTACTTGATGAAAGGGGAATTTCAGCACTACACAAAATATTTAATTTTATTTATGAAACTGGCTTCTATCCTCAACAGTGGTTACGCTCTACCTTTATTCCCCTGCCCAACAAAGTCAATGCAAAGAGATGTGAGGATCACAGACTCATTAGCCTGATGAGTCACACTTTAAAGATATTCTTAAAAATACTACATCAAAGATTATACAAAAAATGTGAATGGACATCAGTGATTCCCAGTTCGGGTTTATGCAAGGTTTAGGAACACGAGAAGCAATAGTAGCAACACAGGTGCTGGTCCAAAACTGTTACGATCAGAGGAAGGATGTGTTCCTATGCTTTTTAGATTACCAAAAAGCGTTTGATCGTGTCCAACACCACAAGTTAATGCAGATTCTCAAGAAAGTTGATATAGACCAAAAAGACATAAGATGCATTGAAAACTTGTACTGGCATCAAACGACACAGTTAAAAATAGACAATTCTATATCCAAACCCATACATATAAGAAGAGGCGTTCGACAGGGATGTGTGCTTTCCCCTCTTTTATTTAACATTTATTCGGAAGCCATATTTCAAGAGTCTTTGGAGGATGCAGAGATGGGAATCAAGTTGAATGGAGTATTGATCAACAACATACGATATGCTGATGATGGTGTCTTAATTTGCGACAACATAGTCGATCTTCAACAACTTGTCACTATAATCGGAGAATACAATAAGCGAATGGGATTAGAGATTAATACCAAAAAGACCAAATTTATGATCAGCTCCAGAAACTTAGATGCACTTGAAAACTCCACCATAACACTGATTACTAAGTCCATTGAAAGAGTGAATAAATTTAAATACCTGGAATCGTGGCTTTTTGAAGACTGGGCATCGGACAGGGAAGTAAAATGTCGCATTGAGCAAACTCGACAAGCTTTCGTAAATTCAAGAAAGTACTGACTTGTTCAGAGTTTGATCTTCAACTGAGACTAAGGTTTACTAAGTGCTACGTGTGGTCAGTGCTGCTATATGGCGTAAAGGGCTGGACACTCAAAACGAGGGATACAAACAGATTAGAAGCTTTCGAAATGTGGCTTTATCGCCGAAAAGAACGCCAACTTTTCGAAACAATCGAGAAAAGGAAAACGGCGTATCTAGGTCACATCATGCGAAATGAAAAATACCAGTTCCTCCAACTTATAATCGAGGGTAAAATTGAAGGCAAGAGAGGAATGGGACGCAAGAAAATGTCCTGGCTCCGAAACATAAGGCAATGGACAGGGATTAACGACATACAATCTCTGATACATATTGCAAGAAATAGAGAATTAATGGAAAATGTGATCGCTAATATCCATTAGTGGATTTGCGTCTGAAGAAGAAGAAGAAGAAGAAGAAGAAGAAAATGTGTCAAACATTAAAAAATTCGTTTTTTCCAGCACTTTTAAATTATTTACACTATATATGACCTTTTATATAGATAGATAGTTCATATTTTTTACAGCGCTATTTCAGATAATGCTTTGTTTGACCTTTACAAGTTTATTAAGACTTTTCTCTTTTTTTTAACTTTAGGACACTAGGGCATCGATACCATATGCTTTCGAACAAATTGGCTGGGGTTGGGCCAAATGGGTGGTCGCCGTTGGAGGAACCTGCGGTTTATTGGCCAGGTAATTAAAATATGACATTTACTATAATCGATGCACTTAGGCAGGAAAGAATAATAATAATGGATAATAAATACTTTTAAATAAAAATTTTACTACAGTTTTTGTAGCAACAATGTTTAAATTTCAACGGTACTGAAAGGAACTGTCGTTCTGTGAGAGAACGATATCTTAATCCTATCTAATTGCGAAATGTCAAAGTCGTCCGATTAGTTGTCCAGGATAGATATGATAATTTCAACCTGGAATATTGTTTTGTAGCAACATCTGTTTTTAACAATTAAAATATTTCGCATTTATCTTAATAAATGTTTGTAGAATAAAATTACTACACCCGCTTTGGTCTACTACACAGAAGACTTTCACATTTCGCGGTTAAACAGCATTAAGATATCGTTTGCTCACGGAACGACAGTTTCTTATTCAAATAATTATTGCATTGAATATACAGAGTGGCCCAAAAGTCTGGAAACGGCTAATTATCTCGTAAATTACTAGACATAATTAAACAAAATTTGAGATACGCCTATTTTGGGATACGGAGATTCCATATTTGGTATTTGCAATGTTGCCAGATTTTCAGTTTCTCTTATATTACTAGTAACTTTGGTTTTTCAAATGTATCACCCTGTATATTCAGTCATTATTGGAATCTTCTATTAAATACGAGTTCAACCAAATGTAACGCTTATGATTTTATGTAGTCTGGAAGGTCTTAAATACATAAAACAGAAATCTGGCAACGCCTAAATTGTTTCAATAAATTTTTAAATACTAACTATTTTCAAATACATTAAAACGTAACAATTGATAGTTTAGAATATTTTTTAACATAATAGTTACGTTATTAAGTGTTCAAAATGTGCTCCATTTGTGAGTTGACAGCACTCTAATCGATGATAGAATGCGTCTACCACATTTCTCCATGATTGTCTAGAAATTATTCGAGATTCATCGATAATTCATTGCCTTAGCTATGCAAGACTTGCTGGTTAAGTTTTGTAAACTGAATTTTTCAAGTATCTATAATAAAAATAATCTTTAGGATTGAGATCGGGTGAACGTGGAGGACATTCAATTCTACTTTGTCTAAAAATTTATCGTCCGGGAAATATCTCATCTAAATATCGCCGAACATTTACACCAACTATCTGACGTTAAATTTCTTTCGATAAAAAATGGCCCAATTAAATAAGTACCTACTATAACTGACCATACATTTAACTTTTGTAGTCTTTGAGTATGGTTTTCACACATTCAGTGTGAATTTCACACAAGTTCAGCTATTCAATACGAGTTCAACCATATGTTCACTTGATATTATGTAGTCTGAAAGATCTTAAATACATAAAACAGTGCAAAATATGTAGATTTTAATAAATTTAAATATTTAAATGGAGAATGCTGTGATTTTGACATTTGTTCACCATTCACATTATAAACTAAAACATGAACAGTAGTTGTGGTTCAAAAAGTTCTGCAATTTAAATTGCTTCTCTAAAATGCCGTTCTCTAAACCGTTCTCCTATTCATAAGACGACGGTACAAAAAACTGTAAGGCGATTTGATGAATCTGGAGAAGTAAAAGATAGATACCGATTAGGTTAACCGAAACGAGTTATCAATGACAACAAAACTTCAGATATAAGCAAAGTTTTGTTGAAGATGTCAGGGTTGCACAAGTACATGATGTAGGTCATTCTTCAGTTTTACGTTTATTACGTAAAAATAAATTTAAATCATACAAAATTAACTTATTGCAAAAATTAAGTGAAGATGACTTTGGTCGTAGATTAGAGTTTACTGAGGTACTAATGATGGATAAAATTGAAAATTATTAAAATTTCGTTAACAGAATATGTTTTTCCGATGAAGCAACTTTTACACTGTGTGGAAGTGTAAATTGACACAATTTAAGGTACTGGTGTGACGTAAATTCACACTGAAGACTGAATGCGTGAAAACCATACTCAAAGACCACAAAAATTAAATGTATGGTCAGATATAGTAGTTATTTATTCAATTGGGTAATTTTTTGTCGAAAGAAATTTAACGTCAGATAGTTGGTGTAAATGTTCGGCGATATTTAGATGAGATATTTCCTAGACGATAAATTGGTAGACAAGGTAGAATTGAATGGCCTCCACGTTCACCCGATTTCAATCCTAAAGATTATTTTTATTCGAGATACTTGAAAAATTCAGTTTACAAAACTTAACCAGCAAGTCTTGCAGAGCTAAGGCAACGAAGTATCAATGAATCTCGAATAATTTCTAGACAATCATGGAGAAATGTGGTAGACGCCTTCTACCATCGATTAGGGTGCTGTCAACTCACAAATTGAGCACATTTTGAACACTTAATAACGTAACTACTATGTTAAAAAATTTATTGAAACAATTTAGGCGTTGCCAGACTTCGGTTTTATGTATTTATGACCTTCCAGATTACATAAAATCATAAGTGTTACATATGGTTGAACTCGTATTGAATAGGAAATTCTAATAATGACTGAATATACAGGGTGATGTATTTGAAAAACCAAAGTTACTAATAATATAAGAAAAATGGCAAATCTGGCAACATTGTAAATATCAAATATGGAATCTCCGTATTCCAAAATAGGTGTACCTCAAATTTTGTACAATTATGATTAGCATTTTACGAGATAATTAGCCGTTTCCAGACTTTTCTGTCACTCTGTATATTCGTTTCTGAATATATAGGGCCTTCAATTAAGCGCTTCACATCACCTCAACATTAGATGACCATATCCTAAATTAATTAAATGTTTTTTTTTTAATTTCAAGAAAATGAAATCAATCCCTTTGAAGAAAAGATTATTTCGTAAGGCTATATATATACTTTTTTTAGCTTATTTGGAGCGATGTTTCCTCTACCCAGGATCATTTACGCCATGGCTGCAGACGGACTGGTGTTCAGATTCCTGGGAAAGGTCAATCCTCGGTTCCAAACACCCGTCGTCGGGACGATCCTAGCAGGTCTACTAACAGGTAAGATTCATTATTATGTTCAAACTTTTGTAGATACAATTTTGTTGTTTAGGTTTGATGGGAGCCTTATTCGATCTCGCGCAACTCGTCAATATGATGTCTATTGGTACTCTAATGGCTTATACCGTAGTAGCTGCTAGTGTATTACTTTTGAGGTAGGATTTTCTTTATTTTTAGAGTATACTTGCCATGTTGTAAAGTTATTTCTGTAATGTGCTTGTAATATGATTCTATGAAAGCAGTAGAACCGTTAGATAGATACACAAGATGGGAATTTTAAAACGATTTATTCACTGAATTTATACTAATTACTATTTAACTGGGAATAAGCCACAATTAAAGATAAAACTACGTTTATTGACGTTTCAATTTCCATTTCGGAAATCGTTCTCAAAATACAAACAGTAAATTAAACAAATTTTGTTTTTTGTTACATAGTGAAAAATTCTTCTAATAATTTAATTTTATCTGACTCATTTATATTGACAATTCAGACATACATTATGCATTTTAAAGTAGACGACTTTAAAGTGATATTGCCAATATTGTTTAGTTGCTCTCCTGGGACGACTTTACTTATAAGATAGTTCATTCGATTACATGAAATCAACTTTAACTTGAGAATATCCGTCAGAAAAAATCATAGCATGTAATTCGTCTTTAAAAAGACCAACACATGACATGATGACAGTAAAATTCTCCTGTTAGTGATTCCATAGTAAATTATGAGGGAAAAACCAGGAAAAAACCTCATAATACTATTCCGACATGGTAAGTATTTGTTTTTTGCATTCAGTTTACCTTCAATAAACACCAAAATTCTGATTTTATGTTTCGTTATTTAAAAAACATAAATGATATATCTTCTATATGTTACTGACTTACTAATACTGGTATTTTCTTATTAATAACTTCCTCTTTCAATATTGGTAACCAGATCCTACTACATTCTGCCGAGGAATTTGCGACACAATTGGCCTCATTTAGCGTAATTAGAGCCGCTTCTTTGATTTTTCTTTTTTTACCATCCGTTTCTTTTAGGACTTTTAGATCTCAAATATGTAAACACGCATGGGATGATGAACATAGGGTTCAATGGAATAATTCAAATGTAGTCCTAAAAGAAACGGATGGTAAAAAAAGAAAAATCAAAGAAGCGGCTCTAATTATGCTAAATGAGGCCAATTGTGTCGCAAATTCCTCGGCAGAATGTAATAGGATCTGGTTACCAATATTGAAAGAGGAAGTTAGTAATAAGAAAATACCAGTATTAGTAAGTCAGTAACATATAGAAGATACATCATTTATGTTTTTTTAAATAACGAAACATATAAAATCAGAATTTTGGTGTTTATTGAAGGTAAACTGAATGCACAAACAAATACTTACCATGTCGGAATAGTATTATGAGGTGTTTTTCCTGGTTTTTCCCTCATAATTTACTATGGAATCACTAACAGGAGAATTTTACTGTCATCATGTCATGTGTTTGTCTTTTTAAAGACGAATTACATGCTATGATTTTTTCTGACGGATATTCTCAAGTTAAAGTTGATTTCATTGTAATCGAATGAACTATCTTATAAGTAAAGTCGTCTCAGGAGCGCAACTCAACAATATTGGCAATATCATTTTAAAGTCGTCTACTTTAAAATGCATAATGTATGTCTGAATTGTCAATATAAATGAGTCAGATAAAATTAAATTATTAGAAGAATTTTTCGCTATGTAACAAAAAACAAAATTTGTTTAATTTACTGTTTGTATTTTGAGAACGATTTCCGAAGTGGAAATTGAAACGTCAATAAACGTATTTTTATCTTTAATTGTGGCTTATTCCCAGTTAAATAGTAATTAATTTAAAATGCCACAAGAAAATAGCTTTAGAACAATATGAATTTATACTGTGACGCAGTCACAGAGGATGTCGTTGAGATAAGAAATTTTTAATATATATTACTTTAGAAGACCCCCTACTTGTTGGAATGACGATCTCAAAAACATGTCAAGAAATTGGATGAAAAGTGCTAAAGATAAAGTACAACGGGCTGGGTGATGATGATTACTTGTACTACTACACCTGGTATGTTTTGACAAGTAAGATAAACATGAGATTATATACATATCTTAGAATATATGCTACGTTGAAAGATTTCTACCTGGACGGCTAAAACTACAGAAATTATTAACCAACAAAAGTGGAATAATTGATATATGACATATGACAGGAAAGACAAATGACAGATGATAGATGGAGATCTATCTAGATAGATAAGTACTGGCTAGCATAGTTTATTTAAGATTATTTAAGAAAAATCTCCCCAATGTTGTTTATACTATTTACTATTTATTTATTTACTATTTAAAAAATTTGAGAAAAATTCAGGAAAAGAATTTAGAACGAATAATTGTGGTCCTCAGCATTTTAACTTTTTATTCGGATTGTCTCGTATCATATCGACAATAGATAAAAGTACAGTCCCTGATGATCCAATACTTTATTTAGCAGTAGTTTAGGAGAATAGCTGTGTAGATGGTTTATAAGTACTCTTCATGTGTATCTATCTAATAGGACTGAATTAATGAGGTTATTGCTGGCATGGACTCATATTTAATGTTTGTAATTTTTGCTTAGATATACAGACGAAGACAGGAGACCTTACGCTCCCGGGACAGTTAATTCCGACTCTGATGATAATGAACTGTAAGTGTTTTGTGGTCGTTTTAATCGTTTTTGCTTACTGTTACGTATTTGTCACTTTTCTTTAGGTTCTTTGAACGAGCACATAGGTAGATTAAAAAATATGGCGAAGCCAACGACAAATTTGTGTTTAGAACTAGGGAAATTTTTATCTAAAGATGGAGCTGCATTTGAGTGCTTTTAGTTTATTGCATGGTGGAAAATACATAAAAGTTTTAGATTTTTGATCAGTTGCAAATGGAATCATATTGTACTTTAGCAAAATAGTGATTTTAGTCATGTTATAAAAAGAGATAGATACAAATTTGAAGGCAACAGTCCAATGCACCGACCTTTGCAGATTTATTCTGCTTCCCTTTATTATTAAAGCTTCGTCTAACCCGATTATCTTGATGATGTTCCACAATCCCTTAGAAACTGGTCTTAAATCCTGATGCCACTTTTTATCCCCGTTTCAATGGTGATTTCACTTGACGTCAAGTCGAGTTCGTTAGAATCACCTTTGCCTATTGACTAATGAAGTCAATAAGTCCCCTGCTTTAAAGCAGATACTTAAATTAATCTTTTAAACACTTTTTCACGGCAAGAGTCGCTATCGCTGTCTCTTTTTCTTTCAGTGACATTGAAGACAACCTGTTAAGATCATTCAGCGTTAATCCTGATGACTTTCTTCGCTGGTATATTGACGATCGCCGAGTAATATCACTCTTAGCAGGTTTGTTTGCTCTATATTTGTTTTCAGAGCCCTCACATCTAGCTTTGTGCATTTATCGCGTTAGACTCAACCCCGGAAGCTTTAGCCTTTACATTTATTGCGCTTGAACAAAGAGTACCTTCTTAACATCTGCATCATCCTTAATACGGAATTTTACTTTTCCTATAACAAATCATCGATAACTATCCAATAATTGATTTCCTACAATCGAAAAAACTCTTACTTGTCTGTTTCACGAAGGGATTTTACCCCAGAGAGTCCATAGGTTTTAAGTCTAGACCAGAACTACATTTTTAAGCCATTTTGTCTTCGTGGTGTATACAATATAAGTATTTCGATTTTTAGATACAGCGATTCAGACCAGTTGACTCCTGAAAGGACCAATACACATTACATAGCACAATTTTTAAACTGTGGACGACATTCTGAACCTACTAAGAAGTCACAAAATATTGTGACTTTCAACGTTCTTCTTTATTGTAAGTATTGTCTCGTTTATTTATTTATTTAAGAAGTTGTTTCTAGATAATAAAGAACAAAATGATGCGTTCGTGTTTAAAGTAAATTCAAGCTACGGACGATGTAAAAAAATACATCATAATCTTAAGCTATGATATACAAAATACTTATCTATTCGGATGTAAGCGTAGAAACAATATAAAACTAAAGACCAGAAAAAAGGATTACTTTTGAATACGGTGGTGTTATTGTTCCTGGAATGAAGAAGGGTGTTATTGTTCCTGAAAAAGACCACAGAGTTAGACAGAGGAAACCAAAAAAGAAAGTATTTGCAAAACGACATTGACGCAGTTCATCGTTTCATAGACTCTTTACCTCGATATGAAAGCCATTACAACCGACCTGATAACACGGATAAAGAGTATATGAACCTTGATGACATGGACGTATAAACACAGATGGACTCAGTTATTTACATAAAATTGTGAAGTCAAAATTATTTGAATAGGTCACATTCTGAGCACCTTCAACTGTTGTCACGTTTTGTTTTAAAATTTCTTATTCGCGAGTCGCTGAAAATATTACTCCGTATTTTATACTCTACAGGTGCTATCAAACCAAAATAATAATTTATTGGTTAGATTAATATATTTAATTGTAATCAAAATATCATGTGTGCACATAGTGTGCATTATCATTTAATAATAGCGTATAATAGATATCAAGCAATTATTTTATATGTAGAAGCACTGAAAACTATTTATAAATGGCAACGGTTGTTTACATTTCTCTGTCTTATGGATCTACGTCAAACTTCAAATGCTGTTCCATGTTTGTTTACTTTTAACAGTAAATGAGGTAAAAGTTATTTTTCGATATTTTGGCTGTATTTTGAGTGATATTTGTGAAAAGTGAAATAAAATAAACGAAATATGTACATCCCGATCTCTCATTTCATTTGTAAGTACATACAATTTACATTATTTAAGATGAGGAAATGAGGTAGCGTGTTTGTTTACATTTTAATAGGCGTACCATTGGGTTTATTCATGTTCATTAATGTATTGAATAAGATATGAGTTCATGAAATTAGTAGACATTTATAAATTGTAAGTAGACATCATCTGATTAAAAAAGATTTGTTTAGTACCTTTTTAATTTAATATTTCTCATGGATACAAATAAATTAGTGAAATGAATAAAACTCATTTATTTTTCTATGTAGGTTTCCAAATAATATTGACGATCAAACTATTTGGGTAGCAAATTAAGGAGAAAACATAAAGATTTTTTATTGTATTATTTTGATACTATTAAAAAATTAACTTGAATTCAACTATATTTAATTGTATTAATTTTAAAGCAAATAAAATTGTATTTTAATTTTTCTATAAAGACGTGATTTGTTAATAGTTAAATTCTCGGTTTTTTTTTAATTCTTTGAACGTGTTTTTATACATTATTACTACTTCAAATTTTTAAAATCTGAATAATTACCCGCGAGTAAAAATTCAAGCACGCTTATGCTCATTGCGGAAGCATCACATTCTATCGAAGCTTCAAAACATTGTGTGTTAAAGGTATCTTATTGCTGTGTCCATGTATGTTTATACGTCCATGCTTGATGACAATATTGAAATATATATGAAAAGTACGTATAAAGTAGTCAAACACAAAATCTTGACTTTGTTTCTTCAGACAAGTTCAGAAGGTTCTTTACAGAGGACTATAATATTTCTTTTAAAACACCTAAATCTGACACTTGTGCAAAGTGCGATGAGTTCCAAATTAATATAAACCATTCTAAAGAAATTGGTGATAATGAAAAACTTAAGGAACTATAGAAAATGTCACACCGAGAGTGCAGTACGGCTAATATAGGAATGCACAATTGCCGGATTTCACGCCTTGTGCTTGGCGATACAAACAGGTCCAAGTGGTAGTCACAGAACCGTACCCAGATCTCTACGCCGGGCTCTGTTATTTATTATAAAATAATATATTGATAAAATAATTGTCTTCAAGTAGCCAAATAATAGGCATGAATTTGAATAAAAAGACCTTAAGTTTTTAGCGAGAATTTTATTATAAAACTGTATACTTTACTTAATTGGTATTGGGCTGTGCACCCAGCCCAATATCCGAAAAGTCCATACTCTGATTGGACTGGTAAATGCATTTTATTGGTTATACAGTGTAAAATAATTGAGGTTACTCACAGATATTCAATTAATTATCGAAAAAAATGTCTTTTTCCACTAGCCATTCCTTAATTACAGCTTTATTCCAGGAATTGTTAGGGAATCTCTCTTTACGGGAGTGGTACGATGCATTATCCATTACAATGAAATTCCTGCGACCATTATTTGGTAAATTTGATATTAATGTCTCCTTAAACCACGACTCAAAATATGCAGCATCCATTTCATCGTGATAGTCGCCATCATTTTTCTTTGCCAGAAAAACACGCTGTGTGTCAGGAAGGAAACCTCCTGAAAAACCTGCATGCAATAAAACATATCGTGGATCTCGTTTAGTAGGTGCTTTTAAGCCAGTACTTAAACCTTTGAGAAAAGCATCACGACTGTTTTGTATCGTAGTATCGCACCATTCGTAATTTATAGATTGGCCAACATTAACCCACGATTCGTCCAAATATATGATATTGCAATGGTCTTTTCGCAAACGTCGTATAGTTCTCAAATAATTATGGCGCCAATGAATAATATCCTCTCGCTCCACCATGATGCTTCTTCAGCCCCGTTTCTTATAAACAAATCCAATATCTTTCAGAAGTCTGTATAAAGTAGAAAGAGACAACGACTGTATATTCTCATTACCTTGTATGAAGTTATGTATATGCTTTAAGAATGGCAGCAAATTTTTCATGAAAAATTCACAATGAACAATTCTCCGTAGAATACTTCTTACACCCTCGTCATATTTGAATATTATAGAATTTGATTGACACACTCGTTTTTTACGTTTTTTGGCGATTTCAACGAAAGAATTGGAAATTTGAATATTATATATAATATCTATAAATAATGTCATTTCCAAGTTTCCAAATTCTTTCCTAGAAATAATGTAGGTTTTTTCTATTTTATGTAAATGATATAAAATATTTTACTCGTACTGCCGGCAGATGCATTTTATCCAGAGACAACGAGCAATCAACAGCTGGAGAAAACCGACAACTCTGCGCGTTTATTCTCCATAAGAAAAGCATTGCCGTATCTTACCCGTACTGCACTCTCAGTGTGACATTTTCTCTAGAAACTTCTAAAGAGTTACACTTCAGAAAAGCAAAAGCTGCAAGAGACGTTCTTGAAACAGCAGTGAAAGAGTCTAAGGAAAATGACGTACATGTGATAACGTTCGATCTACAACAAGCCCTTTCTATACCTAAATTAACCACCGGTCCATGTTTTTATATAAAAAAACTTTGGTGTTATAATTTTAGTGTCCATTGCTACAATAAGCCAGAAGATGGCTACTTTTTCCTTTGGGACGAATCCATTGCTAAACGAGGATCCGATGAAATTGCTAGTTGCTTAAAGAAATATTTTGATAAGTTTGATGTTCGTGGTGACACACTTTATGCTGTATCTGATAACTGCTGTGGTCAAAACAAGAATTGGACTATCGTAGGATTTTGGGTACAACTCCTGGCATCTAAAACGTTTGAAAAAATAATTCACGTTTTTCCACAAGTAGAGAACACTACGCTACCTAGTGATATGAGATTTTGCATAGTGTAAAAACTAGGAAAAACTAAGAATGCAGTGTACTCTCCTAATGAATGGGAAGAAGTGCTAAAAGGAGCCAAAAAGAAGAGGTCATTTATTGTAACGCCTCTTAAGCGAGAAGATTTTTAAATTTGAGAAAATTTCATCAAATCAAATTGTGGAATAAGCAACTCCGTGAAACTGGAGTTTAATATTAATAATCCTTATGTCATGCTTTATTATGACACATACAATGGAATTCAACAATCTTTAACAATCTTTAACAATATGTCACAAAAACTCCTCTCAACGGAAATGATGTACTGGAGAAGATGTTCCGGGTTAACTTTGTTTGACCACATAAGAAATGAAAACATAAGAGAGAGAATGAAAGTAAAGAACACAATAATGGATACGATAGCCGAAAAACAATTAAAATGGTATGGACACCTGAGACGGATGAACGAAGAAAGGATACCACGAAAGGTTTGGAACTGGAGACCTACACAGAGAAATAAAAGAGGAAGGCCAAGAAAGAAATGGATATCCAATATTCATATAGAAATGGAAAATAGGGGTCTTCAAGAAGGAGACTGGGCCGATAAGAAATTATGGCGATTGGGATGCGAGAAGCGACTAAATTAAAGTTGCAAACACCCGCTATATATATATATATATATATATATATATATATATATATATATATACACAATGGAATTCCACAATTCATTAGTCTTAAAAGAAAAAGGGGTAGACCTAGTCTTTCACTGGAAGAAGATTTTAATAGAAACGTGACTCAAAAGTATCCAGAAGCGTTGTCCATAGAAGAGTCAAAACTAGTCCATGTGATATCATGCCTTCAGTGGATTCCACCAGTACATCATTCTTTCTACTGTAGGAAATATTTCTTATATTAAGTTTTTAGCATAGTTTTATTTGTTAGTTACGCCAGTGCGAGATACCACTGAAATCATATTCATAAGGCGCCCCAGACAGGTCGCCATCGCGGGGAAAGGGGACAGAAAAATATAGACAAAATCACACATGCCTGACCTAAAAGGGATTCGATATTTGGCACTCGAGCTGTGAAGGTTAATTATTGTGCAACGCCCGGCAGAGGAATGACGAACGACGAAAACAATTAACGAAGGGGTTGTCCGATCTTTTAATTCGCAGACAATAATCCGTAATCTTGTAATTTTGTGTGTACCTGTAAATACCATCCGTACAGTTTATTGTTATGTAATAAAGACGTATCGTTTGGATCGCGGACTTTTACTCTAACGTTAGTTCCCTTTGAAATAATAAAAGAACTTTTAAGTAAGACCTACACTACTATCCACTGAAATCCTAAGATTTAACAGTTTAAATTATTTTTATGTTCATTTGTTGTTTAGATTCTGTTCATCTCTTGTTTTCTTATAAACTTTGCTCAAATAAAGTTATCTTAAACTAAACAATTTTATGCTAACTTGGCCCAGTGATTAATAACCTGTTAAGTGTCTTTATAGTTTCTTAACAGATTTTTGATGCAGACAAATATGCAGAGACATGCACAAGGACGTCCACTTGTGCTTCATCGACTTCTCCAAGGCGTTTGACAAGGTCAAACATGATAAACTCATGGAAATGCTCAGGAAGATGCATATTGATGGCAAGGATCTGCGCATAATAACCAGTCTCTATTGGAACCAAAGTGCTGAGATAAAGATGGGCAACTTACACAGTGGGAAGATAGATATTAAAAAGGGTGTACGATAGGGATGCGTCCTCTCGCCGCTCCTGTTCAATATATACTCTGAACAAATCTTCAGAGAAGCACTGGGAGAAGTTTCGGATGGTATCAAAGTAAACGGAGAGGTAATCAATAATATTAGATATGCTGACGACACAGTTATTATCGCAAATGACTGCAACGAGCTTCAAAGACTCATGCAAAGCATACACACAGCAAGTCAAGAATATGGTTTAGAACTCAATACAACCAAAACTAAATGCATGCTCATCAGCAGAACACAACAACCTCCGATGCAATTGACATTAAACAACCGAAAAATAGAACAAGTGGAGACATATACATACCTTGGAACCACAGTCAACAGAAATAAGATCACGAATTGAAAAAGGGCGAAACGCGTTCAACAATATGAAAAAGTGGTTCACAAGCAAAATCTCAATGGAACTAAAATTAAGACTGGTCAAGTGTTATGTCTTCCCGGTCTTGTTCGATGGAGCAGAGGCATGGACGACAACGGAAGCCACCCTGAAGAAACTAGAATCCTTTGAGCTGTGGATATATCGCCGTATTCTTCGGATATCCTGGACAGACTACATCACTAACGTGGAAGTAATGCAGAGAATAGGCAAAAGCAAAGAAATAATCTTCATCGTAAAGAAACGGAAGCTTGAGTACTTCGGACATGTCATGAGGCATACTAAGTACCGGCTGCTACAGTTAATAGTCCAAAGAAGAATCGACAGTGGGAGGGGACCGGGAAGAAGACGACACTCATGGATGCATAACCTGCGACAATGGTTCGGACTAACATCGACCGAACTGTTCAGAGGTGCCGTAAACAAAGTCAAAATAGCCTTGTTAATAGCCAACGTCCGAAACGGATAGGGCAAAGGAAGAAGGAAGAACAGATTTTTATTTCCTTAACTAAGACGCATAAAAAACTTGTTAAGTACCATTTTTTTCTAAATTTCTTCTTGTTAAAATTAAAAAAAAAAAATTGATAAAAACAATGTCTTCTCATTATAATATGAGAGCATTATATTTAGCAAAATTATTTTGTTAGTCTTTAGATTCAAATTGTGATCATTTTTTTTATTTTGTCACTTAACAAGTTTTACGACCGGGCCCTTCAATTATTGAAATAATTAACACCAATATTTTGTGGATACGTCACAGAATCACCGGTGGCAAAAGTCTAGTAACTCGAATCGAAAATACTTCCATAATCGGCGGTTGCTCTGCATTCAGTTTGATTTCACTTATAGTTCTGTCATTTTTTAGGTGTAACATGCATCCTTATTGGTCTCAGTGCAATATATTTAAAGGATCCTATATCAGAGGGCCAAACGTGGGCCATTGCCTTGGCGTCTACAGCTATTGGTATAGCTTGTATCTTGATCATGTCGATAGCTACACAGCCCGTTTCCAGACAGGAACTTAGTTTTAAAGTAAGTACTTCTAAAAGTCTTTGTGCAATACCATGATAAAATTGCGTAAATTAAGGAAGTGCAATTGTTTTTTATTTATATATCGACCTATAAATATGATTTTAAAATAAACCCATGCAACGAAGTTTGGAGGGACCCGATAGGGAATTTAGGGTGATCCAACTGCAGAATACTAGCAATCAATAGTATCAAAAGCAAATCTTCAGGTAGTTCTGATGGACTATCCATAAAAATTTTCTTAAATCTTCCAAAAAATGTGTCCTGGTCTATGATCAAAATTAATGGTTCCTTTGAAAAGGAAGATTTTCAGAGTCATTTCAGAGAAGACAGCCATTATTATTTCTCTTCATAAGGGTGGTACAAAATTTAATGTCTGCAACTATAGGCCTATTGCCTTACTACTGGTCTTATCCAAAATTATTGAGACTTATAAACCCCGACTTGTGTTTTCTGTACATGAGGACTATCAAGTCCTCAACCAACAATATCAATCAACAATAATCTTTACACTGCCACTGCTTTCTGTGACTATGCCAAAGCTTTTGATTGTGTAAATCACGACATTTTGATAAAAAAACACCAAATTTCTGCGGAATTCGAGGTATTTCTTCGAAATGGTTCCAATCTTAGTTGGGGACTAGGAAACAACTAGTTAGAGCAAATGATACTGACTCTAGTCACAAAAGCATTATATGTGTAGTACCACAAGGTTCAGTATTGGGTTCTCTACATTTCCTTATCTTTATAAATGACATCACTAACTCAAAAATCGATGGAACAATTTTTCTTTTTTCTGATGACAACAGTATCACCTAAAGGAACTTTAATGTTGCATCTCTTCATGCAACTATAACTTCTGATCTACTTAAAATATAAAATCTGGTCTGAGTCTAATTTACTCTCTTTCAACGTGGATAAGACAGTAGCCTTATCCTATAAAGGAGCTCTTCAACTCCTGCTTCTTAATAACAGCCAGATCAGTATCGTCGATTCTGTAAAATTTTTTGGTATTTTTATGGATAGCAATCTTAAATGGTCCCTTTATATTGATTTAAGTAAAAAAATAGCCTCAGCCTGCTATGCAATAAGATCTAAGGAAATCAATTTAGGATCTTCCAAAATAACATATTTTTCTTTGTTCGAGTCTCATTTTCGATATGGTCTTACTTTTTGGATTTCTAGTATCTTTTTGGCTTCAGTAGAATAACACATTGCAGAACCTGCTTAAAAAAACACGGGATATTAATTAACTCTTCCCTCTTTATATATTTTAGAAACTGTTTGCTTAATTTGTAAACACCTACATGTTTTCCAGCAAGACTTAATCATGACTACTCCACCAGATATTCAACCTTTGATGTGTATTAACTGATCCCGTCCACTGAGTTAGTAAAGGCAGTGAGCTCCCAATCAATCCAAAACTGAGTGACGCTCAGTTTTGGATTGATTGGTAGCTCACTGCTCAATTCAGTGCTTTTAAAATTCGCTAGAAAACCAATTAATTTAAACATTGTCTGGAGCTCGAGCAGTTACACAAATTAGTTACTACTTCAGGCCCTATTGAAAAAAAAATCACAATCTTACATAGTTATTCTTCTATATTTCTTAGTTCTAGTGTCTGCTCTGCATCTGTTGCCATACCTGATTCCTTCTCTCGAGTATTTGTGCACATTGTTCAATCACAAATTAACCCCTTAATTTGTAATCTCACATTATTCTTAACTTCTTAATTTTTTATAGTTTCACCGTGTATAAGTTTGCATTATATATATTGCAAAACCATATCGTATGATAATTTAATAATTAGTTCATTTACCTACAACTAAATAAATTGCCGAATAATAATATTTTCCAATTGAACTTCCTAAGTGTCGCAATTAAGGCGTATATTAAATTGTATTATAAGCAAAAGTTAGGTGGTGTGATATGAACGAAGCAATGACCTAAGGTGTTTATGTATCTATTATGTGTGAGATTATAAATTGGGGATTTGAGTTCAAATGAACACAGTCAATATTGAGTAGTTACCGAACGAACACCATATTGTGTAATTACGAGTTACTGTCAATAAATCATCACTTTTACTCCGCAACTTCAACATTTATTTAACCCTATCATCAGCGATCGACGAGAAGCAGACAAAGGGGCATTACGAACCGAACCGAACTTCATTACTAAGTTCGATATCTTTCCACACATCCTTCATCATACCAACTTTCACACCAGTCCATACTGATCATAATTTGATATTTTAATTTTTGAAATGTTATATAATTTTTTACTTAATAAATTCCTTTCTAACTGTACTAAAATTTTCTTTTTAAACATGTTATTTAGTCTGACTTTGACGGATCTGTCAGAAGTAAACAATGTATGCTTTGTTGATAGGTTAGCAGGTGGCGTTGGGAGCAAACAATAATTTATTGAATTATTTTAATATAATATAATTTGTTTAAAAGAAAGAAATGATTTTTGACTTTATTATTAACTTATGTACAGGGTTTTCGCCATAAATATCCTAAAATTACATAAGCTATTATTTCGTTAATTTCGATCTATATGGGCTCATTGATTTCTACTGATTATAACAATAATAATTTGTAGGTGCCAATGGTTCCTCTTGTACCTGCTCTTAGTATTTTGGTCAACATTTACTTAATGTTAAACTTAGACACAGAAACTTGGATACGTTTCGCCGTTTGGATGGCCGTAGGTAAGGAAAAACCGCATTTATTTTATTTTTTATTGAATTGATTTTCACTAAAGTTCACTAGCATGCATCTCAGTCATGGAATTGGTTCTTAAAAAAAAACAGTATAATAATAGTCGCTTTGTTTATGACCAATAGGCCGAATATGATTGACAACATGTTTTTTAACAGTGAATCTATTTTTTACCTTAAATTACACTCAGATGCAAAAGGAGAAAATTTTGGTCAAATTCAAAGTATTTCAGTTTTTTATTTTTAACCCTATTTTGATGATTTTTCTAGCACACTGTGTAAAAATTTATAAAATTTAATTTAGTATAGTTAATTTTTTAATAAAATTTTCTATTTAACTTATTATACGGGGTTAATCGAAAGGTGGTTTTTTATCTTAACTTTAACTTCTCCATGGGTAACTTCGACGTCATACTTGTTCTCTCCCATCTGATGAGTGAAGACAGTATCTTGACTCATCCGTAAAAAGAACATTACTCCATTGTCCTAAATTCTAATGTAAATGTTCTCTGGAAAATTGTAGTCTAGACACTCTGTGCCGTGGAAGTAATTTGGGCCCAGTTGCTGGTCTGCAACTTTGCAAACCAAATTCATGCAATCTTCAATGAACTGTAAATATTTCTTCTTAGAGTGCCATATCCCTACGGAACGTCGGCGACTACCATGCTTATAATATTATTATACTGATCTCGGTCTTGCGCTACGTGTAGCAATTGGTCCGCTGTCAAACCTGTCCACTGCCGCAAATTCCTCAACCAAGAGAGTTTCTTCCGTCCTATCCATTTCTTTCCATCGATTTTACCGTTGAAAATTAGCCGAAGGAACTCATATCTTGGTTCTCCGATTATATGTCCAAGATATTCTAGTTTACGCCTCTTAATAATATTTAATAGAGTTCGTTGATGTCCCATTCTTCGAAGAACTTCTTCGTTTCTGGTTCTGCTAGTCCATGGAATTTTTAGTATCCTTCGATACAACCACATCTCAAACGCCTCGATTTTATTCATGATATCGGCGTTTAAAGTCCAAGTTTCACATCCATACAAACGTACAGACCACACGTAACATCTTGTAAACTTTTCACGGATTTCCAAATTTAATGAGTTATTGGATAATAGAGGCTTGAATTTTTGAAATGAGTTTCTTGCCTGTTCAATTCTACATCGAATTTCGAAGGATGCATCTAGATTTTTTGTAATCCAACATCCAAGGTATTTGAATCTCTGAACTCTCTGCAGCTGTTGTTGGTTTAATATCAGTTGGGTTGCGCCGATATCTACTTTACTGGTCGCCATGTATTTAGTTTTATCGATATTTATCGACAGTCCCCAATTTGTGCATTCCATGTCAACTCTATTGATTAGCTCCTGCAGATCGTCGATGTTTTCAGCCAGAATCACAGTATCGTCGGCGTACCGTATATTGTTAATTATTTTTCCTCCTATGATAATTCCTTTTTGATCTTTTAAAGCTTCCCTAAATAGATTCTCAGAATACACGTTAAAGAGGGTGGGAGATAGTATACAGCCTTGTCTTACGCCTTGTTCAATACTGATTGGCTTTGTTTCTCTGTTGTTGGTAGTAATAATGGCTGTTTGGTTCCAGTAAAGTTTGGCAATAAGTTTGATGTCTTTCTCATCTAGTTGGATGATCTGCAAGGCGGTACTTAGTCTGGTATGCTGAACGCGATCAAATGCCTTTTCCAAATCAATGAAGCACATATATACGGGTTTTCTTACCTCCCAACATCGTCGAAGGAGTGTTTGCATAGAAAATAGTGCTTCTCTAGTTCCAAGGCATCTCCGGAACCCGAACTGCTCTTGACTAATTATTTCTTCGCACTTGTTGTTAATTCGGTTTAGAAGAATATGCAACAGTATTTTAACGGCATGGCTCATTAAACTAATGAGTCTACAATCGCTACATTTCTTAACGTTTGGTTTCTTAGGTAGAGGAATAAAGATCGATTTTAACCAGTCCGATAAAATTTCACTGGTATCATATATTTGATTGAAAAGTACAGTGAGTTCTTTTATATTGTCATTTGAGAGTAATTTTAGCCATTCGCTGTATATTTGATCTGGTCCACTGGCTTTGTTGTTTTTGGCTTGGTGTATGGCTTTTTCCACTTCAGCTTTTAAGATTGATGGTCCTGTATTTGCACTTAAGTTAGGTAGTGATCCTCGATCATTCTTAAATAATGCTTTAATGTAGTTTTCCCATTCCTCCATTACTTCGTCTTCTAGCGATAGTGCATGACCTTCATTATTCGTTAATGTTATGGGTGTATTTCTTTTGTGTACTGTAACTTCTTTTATTTTCTTATGTGTGTTAAATTCGTCATGTTTTCGTTGCAATTCTTCTAGTTCCTCACATTTTGTTCGCATCCATAACTCTTTGGCTTCCCTGATTTTTCTTCGAATCAGATTATGCTTTCGTTTATACTCTGAGTTATTTCTATTTTTAAGCTGTCTTCTTTCGTCCATCATTTCGATTATTTCATCTGTCATCCACGCTTGCTTTTTATAATGGGTGACAGTTCCACTTTACGTTGCTGTATCGATGATACCATTCTTTATGTTATCCCATCTTTCTTCGACTGTTGATACATTGTATACTTGTGTGATGTTGTCTCGAATGTTTTCGTTCATTGTGTGTTCAAAGTGATGTTTAAATTCTTCTTCTTTTAGTTTTTGTCTATCGTATTTGTAAATCGTAACTGTAAATATATACTAAGCTTCAATACTTTTTCTTTCTAGGGAACATTTTGTATCATTTTTTAGTAGTTTTTATATAAACATAATTATATTTATCACACACATATGATGTCTGTTTGGTCATAAATATAGCGCATTACTTTTATACAATAACTAAACATTTGTAATGATATCTTAATGAGGTATTGTACATCGGACGGCGTAGTAGATGTCGGTTCTTTCTCTCTAAAAACCAGTACCTGGTTCACGACGACATATTTCGACCTAGTTGGGTCTCATCTTGCAGTGACGAAATCGAAATCAGCCTCGGAAAGAGACAGAAAGTGGAAGATCATTAACCAAGTTTCCTATTTCACAGAGTATTCATAAACGTAATATATTGACATAGACTGAGCAGTGGCGACAACATCTTTTGCGGATGTTCGATCTGTCTCTCTCTAGCGCACTGAATTCAGCAATTAAGAAGTCTCATCTTCTTCCCACCAAAAAGAGACTCTACACTACACAACGAACGACGAAAAAAAAAAGATTATGTTGTCACTCTGTTTTATCGCTTGCTTAGTACATGTTAATATATTACGTCTATGATAGTGTTGACGCTAGATGACGCCATATACTTAAGACGGCAGAAAATAGACAACGCTGTATATCTTTAGCAATGATCTGTTTTCTGTAATCCACGGTAGACGGCGCTAACTATACCACTCATGTCGCCACCACTCTGTGTTCGGTTCTACAACTACCATGATGATTCTCAATTCGGCCGAAACATATAGTGTGAACCAAAAACAGTCTTTTAGAGGCAAGGATAAGCCTTTATGCCTTCTGGAGCATGATACCCCTCTCTGAAACAAATTACACACATTTGTTTCTGGGATAGAGATATCTTAATGCATGTTTACAATATAAAAAAAATGGCAAAGTTTTTAAAAGTTTTCTTTATTTTATGTCGATACATAGGTGGTGGTTATTTATAATTACTAATTTTTTTAAGATTATTTCGTCTTCTTCCTTCTCTTTTGCTAGGGATTTGTTGGTTTTTACTTCGCTTGTATCCTAATTGATGTCTGATTAACTTGTTCTCGGGCGTCTAATCTCATTCTTTCATTTGCCGATCAATCCATTACTATTTTCACCGATCTCTTGTTCACCATTCTCTCTATATGATGATTTCATTGTGTTTTTCTGTTTATAGTTAATTTTTTGTATTCGCCTCAATTCTTGTTCATTCTCTCTGCATTTAGTTTGTTATCTTTCGTAGGATTTTCATTTAAGCTGTCCGCGATTATCTATCAAGGGGAACGTAAGGATAGAAGAGATCGTCTAATACAATTCTGCCAAGAACAAAGTCTAATAATCACAAACACGTTCTTTAAATTACCAATGACACGGTTATATACATGGTGTTCACCAACAGATAAACCGGAAAACGTGGTAAGAAACCAAGTCAAGGTATGGTTCACTAAGAGACATTTTTAAGACCAACATCCCGATAGCTTTGAAACGGAGGACATTTGACCAATGCGTCTTCCTATTATGACATACGGAGCAGAAACTCTCACGCTCACAAAAACAACAGCACTAAAAGGCGCATGGAAAGATCAATTCTCGACTTGACAAAAAAATACAAAATAAGTATTTCAAGACTTAAGGAAAAGAACAGATATCAGAGATGTCGTCGAACCTATAGCCAAGTTGAAATGGAATTAGGCAGGTCACATAGCGAGACTGAAAAGGGACCAGAAAACTAATTGACTGGCGCCCACGAGAAGACAAACGCAGCAGAGAACGACCACCAACACGCTGGATGGGCGACATTAGACGAATATCCAAGAAATGGCAACAAGAAGCACAGAACCGTGAAGAGTGGCGAAAAATGGGAGAGACCTATGCCCAGCAGTGGACAGAAGAGGTTGCATGATGATGACCGTAAGACCATCAAATCAGTTAGAACATATCCAGGAGCAGATGTCACATCAGACCATAACCTACTAACCCAAAGAATTATAGTTTATTCGTCTTCCGGGTTTGGACCGTGTCATTTGTGAGTGATCCAAAAGTGGGTTCATCTCGACGTTTCGCTACAATTGTATGTAGCTTCTTCAGGAGAACAAAGAAAAAGAAATCAAAAGACAGGAAGATGGGTAGTTAGCAACGGTAACTCAGTTACTCAACGCAACCAGAGGCGAATACTAACTACCAAGATGGGCATTTGGTCACAGTAACTCAACTACTTAACGCAGCCAGAGGTGAAAACCAAATGCCAGGACAGGG